AAGGTACTCTCATAAACCTTGCAAAACTAAAATATTAAAGGGTGAGCAAATCAATAGCTCATTGAGTAGATACTATATAACATATCTAAGGGAGAAAAACGGACTAAGGATGATAACTTAAAACTTGACTCAAGATGTAATGTCATTTCTCCAAACCAAATACATATAAAAAATATCAAATCTTAAATGGTTTAAAACTTATTTGTATCAAATTATCAAAACCCGTATATACATATATCATACTCAAATCAAATTAAGTATTTGAATTACACTTATATATCATGATCAAATCAAATCATATATCTAAGTTTGCATTACACTTGAAGTGAAAAATATAACATATCATTGGATGCGAATACCCAAAGGTCACGCCCCTATGACTAGGTTTTGGTATATTGGCCAACATATGGGCTAACATTATACCTCTCTTGCTAGCTAGAGCTTAACGTATCATTAAGCTCAAAGGCTATACCCCCATAACTAGGTACTCCAAGGTAACTAAATCATATCGAAAACCATGTAAACTTATACATAGCTCAAAAATATACAAATCCAATATATCAAATACAAAGCGTGTTCGAAATTAGATTTTGATAGTGCAATTCGATATCAAATAAACATTAAACAAAATTTATATGAATAGTTAAAATAATAGTCTAAAGTAGATTAGTATTTAAATTCATAGTCCTATACCAAACCAAGTAAAACACTTGTTCAAACATGTACTCAAATTTCTTTTTAAAATTATATCAAACCATTTTCGATACGAAATCATTTCAAATACATAAAGGGTCTACTCCCGTCTAAGTTTTAAAGAATGTGATTATATTATAGACAAATTGATGATGCATGATAGACATATCGAAAGAATTCAAAATCATATTATGCTATATAATATTCACTCGAGTACAATCAAAGATCAAACAAAATCAAGATTATTACGATAAAATCACCCATTTTGAAGAATCTAATGACACAAAATGGTGGAACAACCATCAATATCACATATCAAAAAATAATTCAAAACAAATGAATTATTATAGAAATAAAAATACAAGATTATCTATAAGAATAAAAATTGATATGAAGACTCAAATCGATAATTTTAACTAAACTCTTACTCTCTCAATCGATTCTAAACAATTGCTTAACTATATCCTATTATCAATCCCCAATTCAATCAACCTTTATAGAAACCATCTTTTCTCAAATTCAATCCAAATGTTTAAACAATCAATTATTAATTAAATCATCAATTCTATTTTAATTTATTCAATACTCATTTCATTCATCATTAATCGTATTTATATAGCTTAATTTCTCATTTTCTCCAAATTATTTTCAATCCAAAACTAAATTTTAAAATTTACTATTCATAATCTTCAACCTCTCAAATCAATTTAATTGATTCAATTCAACTTCATAAATGACTAACCCACAACAATTAGACATCATTTAATCACTTAAAGTCACTTAATCAATTTTTTCCTAAATGGGTCTCAAAACCCTAAAATTAATCTATATTAATTCTTCATTTTAACAATAACCCAATGACAAAAATCTTACCTTTGACAATTGGATCTTCAACCCAAATTCAATCCTAACTCTCCAAGCTTTCCAAGCTTCAATCCAACTAAATTCCATTTGAATCAACTTATTTATGATTTTTCTAAGTTAATTTAACAAGGATTTAAATTAGGATTTAAAGGTGGAGATTAGGAGGAAATTAGAGAGAATTACATGAGAAGGAGAAGGGAAGAAGAAAAAGAAAAGGATACAGACAAGTTGTTCCATTTTTATACTTAGCCTAAATTTTTTTAATTGCTAACTTAAATATTATTTTAGGATAGGTTATTATGCTGAATTATTAATTTGACGAATATAGATTGGTTGCTTCATTGGTGAAATTTGACCAAACCATAGGATTAATTGTGAATGAATTAATTGATGTTAGATGGTGTTTAAATGGATTAAAGGAATGAGTTAATATGGAAACCAATGTTTGTGTTATGAATACTCGGATTATTGATGGAAGCATGCGTTCATGTTATGAATATTGGATGTTTTATGAAAGCATGTGTTCATGTTATGAATAATTAATGATTCAAGTTGGTGTTTATATAATGATTAATTGACTAGTATTGCTTGGATTGATTTAATGTGGTTTTGTGTGTTAATTATTTGATCATGCAATTGTCATGTTTACCATGCATTTCATGAAATGATTTTCAACTTGTTTCATGATTTTGAAAGACAATAATCAAGTGCATGGATTTTTAAGAAAATGGCTAGGCATGTCTTAATCACGATCATAAGTTTAATCACGTCATACAAAGAGAATGATCTAATGTAAACTCTTTGTGGGCGTCACAAGATTCATAGGAGAATCACAGATTTCACAAAGGACATGTCAAGTGCTCTTCATGATTTTCACAAACATGGTTTTCATGGATAGCCGAATATATAATTACATTCGGTAGGGTGCATCCGAGCATAAAAAATGTATTTCTAAACTCACAAAAATATATTTCATTACATCATGCATATATGACTACATTTACCGAGCATTAACTCGCCTTTTATTTCTTATGGTGTAGGTGAAAAAGGTCCAAAATAATGATGTGCTTTAAGTTGTCGAAAGAAGACCGACTTGCCAGTATATGCGCTTAATAAATTAGGTGTGAGTGAGAAGACCCTTTCTTTTCTTTTGTAGTATGTTTTAAACTTAAAAAGTGTGTTAGGTTTAGCACTTAAAATTTTATAAAAATAATGATATTCCTAAACTGATTTTGTAAATATTAAATAAATGGATGTGTTTGATTTGGTTTAATTAAAGTTTAATAAATAAATTGGTGGTTTGACTAATAAAATCGATTTAAATGATTAATTGGATTAAACAAGAAAATTAAATTGGGTTCAATTAGAATTAAATGGCCAAAGGTTTAAATGAATTAATTGACTTAATGGCCTTAATTTAATCGACATGAATAAGTTGGATTTAATAAGTTTATAGCAATTGGATTTGATTGGTAAGGAATAATTGAGCTTAATGGATTAAATTTATTTGATTTTAGTTCAAATAATTGAAATTGGTGTTTTCTAAGCTTAAAATGCTTTTCCAAGGACTTAATCCATAATTTAGCTTTCATACGGATAAATTAAAGTTTTAATTGAGTTGATTAATTGGTTTACTAATTTAAAAGATTTTTATAACAATTCTAAGTTATGGACTAATTTAATTGGTGATAAAATAAGTAAACACAAATTGACTATTTTCTAATGAAATGGATTAGTTTACAATTAATTTGGATTTTAAAGAAATTTATATATAACTAAATTAGTTTAAGATGGTTATTTCATTTTATGATTAAATCCGAATTTCTATAAGAAGGAATTGAAAAAAAAAAATTAAAGAGACAAATTAGCTTTCTTTGATTTAAAGGATTTTATTAAAGTATTAAAATTAAGTTTTATGACTACAAGTTTTCAAGCAAAATTTTAGACAAGTATTTCTATATAATTGACAAAAGAGTTTTTTTTTTTTTAATGACTTATGTTGAGAAAAATGTATACTTAATTTTATTTAAAGTTTGGGCCTAACTAATTAAATCAAATGAGCTTCTACAAGTGTGCATTAATAATTCGGATAATAATCAAGGACACGAGGCTTAATGTTTTGCATTCATTGAACTTAAAATGTGAGGCATTCTCGGTAATGCTCTCGACCTATTTAGGTCCTAGGTTGGGGGTATTACATTAATTGTAAATTGTTTATAGATATCAAAAGTCTTATAAGAACATAAAATGACACCCTTCCTAGCTCGAATACAAACTCGTTCCGTGCCTTAACCGAATGATGATGAAAAATAAGGACATGACATGAAAGCAAAAGACAAAATGAGACATGGTCACCTAGAGGCAATGAAAATCGAAGGATAAAAGATACACACATGAAGCTCTACTTATCTTGAAAAAAATAGAGAAGGCCACATCAAAACTCTAACTTAAAAAAACAACTAAAAGTGCCTCATAACATGTAATTACTAAAAGATACACAAAGAAAAATAAAAAATACAAACTTCAAATAAAATTTAACTAGAGTTGGCATGCAAGAAAGTTGAAGCATGGTCAATATAAGTTCAAAATCATTTCACTAAAACCTCAATGATTCTTGAAGAAAATAAGACAATTAATAGATATTGAACAAGACCTAATTGAGAGTTTATTTGCTCAAATTTATTTCCTCTTCTTCCCTAATAAATAAATAAATAAAAACCATGATGGTCGATGGTGGGTATGGGTAGTGGTCGTGAGAGTGTGATTGTGTGAGGTTGTGAAAAAGAGATCGAGAGAATGAAAGGTAGAAAAGCTGATAGAGAAAGGGTTTTCCAAATTTTGTTTATATATATATAACTAAAATAATTTTTTTTTTAAATTGAAACAAAATTAATATTTCAATTTGATTTTTTTTTTCAGTTTAATTGAATAGTCATCACCCTTATTCATGGAAAAAAAGATAATTTAGAAATAAAAAATATTATAATAGTACACCTTATTATTAATTTAATGAAAAATTGACGTAAAAACTAAGTTATTGACAAAATTAAAATATAAGAAATATAAGGGATTAAATAATTAATTTTTGAAATGAGAGGATTAATTAATTTGTTGTCTTTAAACGAGAGTACCCATTTATATTTTACTATATTTAACTGTTGGGCTATAAGCTAACCAAATGACACCATACCTGTCATTAACATTCACCCGGCCCACCAAAGCCCGAATATCAAAAGACCCGATCCGTTAGATCGCAAACCAAAAGGGTCCATAGGAAAAATACTATCAAAGAAACGAAGCCCTAATGGGATTAGCCGCAAGTATATATACACCCATAACTCCACAATCAAAAACCCTAGCGATAGACAAAGAGAGAGAGCTAGCTGAACAGCAAGTGGCAGCTTCGCTTGAATCAAAAGAGCTCTCTTTTTAGCAGAAAAACCATGGCAACAGCAAAAACTGTGAAGGACGTGTCTCCTCATGAGTTCGTCAAGGCTTACTCTGCTCACCTCAAAAGATCTGGCAAGGTATTTTTTCTACACAACCTACACATACAAATCTATACGCATAGTTTTCGGATTCTTGCATTTTAGATCTGTTATTTTACTGAGTGATGAATTGGGTTTATATTAAAATACGATTTGGTTACTATAGTTTGTTTTTTTGGTAATGTGATATGTGTTTAATCTTTTGTTAAATTTATAGCGTTTAGGAATTGTGGTTTCTATGGTCTTGTGGATGTTTTTACTGATAGTGTTTGCTAGGTTTATCTTAAAAATGGGTAAGAACTATCTCGTGTTTGTGCCTGAACTGGGTCACTAGGATCGAAAGTATTGCCTGTGGAAAATATGCACTAATGGATTTGGATTTTTAATTTGACTTGTGAGGAGGAGGGGAGGAAGGTACAGAATAGTAGGGCAAAATAGAGAAGTTGCTTGTATCCGTGTTTTTTGAAGATTTCCTCTCGGCGGTTTACGTGGGTTTTAATTCATTAGTGTATGAGTAGGGTTCATACATGTGCGGATAGTTTTTATAATGTTTTAGATTTGGAGTATTCTAGTATTTGGAGATGGTTGTGCGATACCTGTTTCAATACATGTAATTTTGCCTTTTATAATATAGTTGTTTTGTTGCTCTGGGAGAGGCACAAGTTCAAGCATTTCATTAAAATTCTTTCAGTTTAATTGACTGTTGACTGTGATACTGTCTTGCTTTACTGGATTGCTCACCCTGGTAAGTGTAGTGTTATAAGTAACCATCATTTTGATTTTGGGTCAGAAGCTCTAATCCCTTTTCCGTCCATGTTGATAAACAGATTGAGTTGCCACCATGGACTGATATTGTGAAGACTGGTACATTTAAGGAGCTCGCCCCATATGATCCTGACTGGTACTATGTTAGAGCTGGTAGGTCTCTCTCTCACACAATTGCACACACAGGCACACATAGATACAAGCTCTTACACATTTATTTGTGGTGTTTGTGATGTGCTGTTAATATATGCTTGATGATTTGATATTAAATCTCGACTGCAGCCTCCATGGCAAGGAAGATTTACTTGAGGGGAGGCCTTGGTGTGGGTGCTTTCCGTAGGATTTATGGTGGGAGCAAGAGGAATGGAAGTCGTCCACCTCATTTCTGCAAGAGCAGTGGTTCTGTGGCTCGCCACGTTCTTCAACAATTGCAGAACATGAACATTATTGACATTGATCCTAAGGGGTGAGTTGTTTTCCTATTGCCTTGTGTTATCATGTTTTGAAACTGTAGTTTCTTTAGTTATGTTCAAATTGCAACTTATCAAATATCATCTGCAATGGAATCTTGCTTTGTTGCCTTTTCATTTCACGATTGAAGTGGATTGATAAATAAAATACTTATGTGCTGGTGTGTTTTTTCTTTCCTTTTGTAATAGCGGGAGGAGAATCACTTCAAGCGGTCAACGGGATCTTGACCAAGTTGCTGGACGCATTGTGGTAGCCCCTTGATGAATCAATGTTGAGCTATGTCATAGCTTTCTTACTTTTAGGTGTTTCCAATTTTAATCCTGTGGAGAGGTGACTGCAGCAACAAGATTATATGTTATGAAATTTTTGGTTCTGAGTGTTGAATTTTTGTTTTTTTATATGAACATGGTTTTTGTTCTGTTGCATTTTAGTGATTAGATATTTTTGATCTTGATGGATCTTTTATCTTACATTTTTGCCATTGGGTACATTTTGTGTATTTTACGTCTTTAAATGGTAGGTGAATGTGATCAGAGGGTTACAGAAAAGCACCTTACTAGTTTTCAATTGTCCTGGGACTGGGACAAGGGCTGGTGCTTCTGGACGATTCGTTCCGTTTCAGAAGTTTGGTTTACTCGAGGCCTCAATTTTTGTCTTAAACAAAGGGTCGCTAGAATTTGGGTGGCTGTTACTGGAGAAATAGAGATTAGGCAAACTGATCTGCAATGATCAAAAGGAAAAACAGCTTCACAACTTATTTGTGCAGAAAGTGAATGTAATTTCCCAATTAAAAGAGTAAGAGGTTATTGGGGGGAAGTGACAACGAAAATTAATGAAGCTGCAAACCATGATAGAGCTTGTTTTATTGAAAACTTGATATAAAAAAAAAAAAAAAAAAAAAAAAAAAAAAAAAAAAAAAAAAAAACAGGATTTGTTTTATTTTTTGGCACTGGATCCTTGTGTACGAACTGTGTCTTGGTAAGAGCTTTTCTAAGACAAAAGTCGTCCTACGAAGCTTGGTCGTCTTTGGTGTTGTATAAATGTTTGGGTCATTATTGCCTTTCCTTGATTTGTTACTCCTGCACTAAATGTGTTGGACCTAGTGTGGGGATTTGTTTTGGAAGGGCATCTTGTGTGGTTTTTGCATGTTTGTGTTGGGTTGGTGGTGGTTTTTTTGGTAGGTAGGAAATTGAAGCATCAACCTTTGTTCCTTTTTCGACGAGATCACAAGGAAAATCTAACAGTTGTTCTTCAAGAGCCCAATGTTTCCAGCGGTTTTATCTTAGGCAGTGCCTGGTTGATGTGGCCTAGCTATTGATGGAGCCTATAGACGAGGGGGTAGTCGTGGCATCTTGGTGGTAGATAGACTTCTATTATATTCGGTACGGTTGTTACTATTCTGGATCTGGATACGAGAATGATGTCCACTTCTGAAGAATTTTTTAATTGATCTTTAGTAATCGAGTCAAATTGTAAAATTTTTATTGTTAGGGACTACATTGTAGTTTTGAGAAACATGAAGGGTCGATCAATGCAAAGTAAGTCAGAGTATAATTCAGTTACTGAATCTGTGAAGATATATCTGCGGCAACAGAGTTATTTTGTGTGGCCTATTACTTTGTTTTATTGTTTAAGAAAAAAATATTTTGAATATGTTTTTAACAGTTTAGATTAGTATATTTACCTATTGTTCAAAAAAAAAAAAAAGAGAGAGAGCATAAATTATTGTTTTATTATTATTTTATGTATTTATATTTAGGTTTTTATTTCATGTATTTGATTAAAATTATGAGTTTTCATTTCATGTATTTTTTTATTTTTATCTGATTTTCATTTCTTTATATATATATATATATATATATATATATATATATATATATATATATATATATATATGTGTGTGTGTGTGTGTAGGTAGGAGCTTCTAAGTACATTTGATAATTTGATTGGATTTTATTCTGTTTCGAGTTTTAGACCTTTTCGCTTTAGAGTAAGTGAGTATATATAAGAATTTTAACTCATCTAGTCTCAAATAGACATAAAGAATTTAGCATAATAAAAATTCGAAATGATTTTTAAATTTGTATGTTATGCAGTCTGTAGGATGTTGAATTAACTCCTTATCTATAATTTATTATGAACACATTGGTTATTTATATTTTCTATTTATTTTTAATACTAAGCAGCGATTCTCTTTTTTTTTTTTTTTTATCATTAATTATTATTATTTTAAACTCGTAGTGAGAAGCTATCGTGTACGGTTGCTTCTCCTTTAGTCTTTTCATCTAAGACTTGTGCTTGAGAGGCTTTTGATTCTCCTTTTGTACCACAGGGATAAACGGCCACCAGCAGCTTTTAGTCAGTCATAATTTTAAACGGAGGTTTGTATCCTTAAAACAAGCATCTGCAGACAAAGAACAGGCACTAAATTTTCACCTATTTTCTCATCGGAAATATTATTATAACAATGTCAGCATTCAGCAAGCTGTTAAGCTCCCACTTACAGGCACATAATCAACATCCACAAGAACCTTTCACCACGACTGACCTATGCATAGTCCGAGTAATGATTATGAACGACCTGTTACAAATAGATGGACACGAATTTTTTTTGGATAAACCTCGAGAGGATAGGCATTGATAACTCCAAAAGGCATTGGAGTCAACATGGAAACGGCAGTAGGGAGTCACCAAATCAATTACCGAAAGGAAAATTTGAACAATCCCAAACGAAACCCACATGCATTACTAGGAAACATGAAAGGAAAACTGCTCATCACAAAATCCAAGCGTATCTTAGGTCTTAACAGCAAACACCATCCTTGCGCGCAGCAGAAATCCAAAACTAATATCCATGCAGCATTAGGAACAACAACAAATTCCAAGAGAAACCTAAGGGACCAACAGAATATATATTTCAAGGTATATATATATATATATTTGTTGTTTACATCAAGTTTTAAATGATATCATTCTGCACATTTCGGTCTATATCAGACAAGCCTAGCTACCTCAGCGATAGCTAATAAAAGTGTCAGCAGTACTTTACGAGTTTCCTTAGATAGAAGAAAGGAGAAACCTTATTATCTATGAAATTACTGTTCAATATGCAAAAACTTCAATTTTAGATCGAGAGTTTCTAAAAACGAGAGCACTTTGTGAACTGATGTATGATTTACAGTTCCGTAGATATTCCTATATATGCTTGGAAGAATGAATTTATCTTCCTAATTTTTTATATCAGTCATATTTTTCACTGGACAATCAACAGAGTATAGTTAGAGAATTCTTGCAGTTGTTCATAAAATTTTTGGCGTTCTCCTTCATTCCATGCCTGCATCTTTGTACTATAATTTCTCCCTTTCTGATTGATGACCAGCCGCTTGAGGACGACAGCATATTTCAACAAATAAATGGCAAATGCAATCTGGTTGGAGGCGCCATAAAATCCACCTACTTCAACATATTCCGGATGTTTATGGACATATTCACTAGCATCGAGCTTTACTTGCCATTTACCATAATGATATGAATAAAGAAGGGAATTAATTAGTTCAGTACCAGGCTGATAAGGAATTTCATGTCCCAACTACACATCATTCATATGGAATGCAACAGATTTGGAGCATAATTAAGACATGGCTTATGAAGTAAATTTTATTAGTGAAAGGTAATTATGTGCAACCTAAGACAAAACCATTCAAAACAAGGCAATAAAGAAGAACTTTAGGTTTGCGAGAAAAATTCTTGATGAATAGAAAACTGTAAAAATATTGGAACCTCAGTTATCAAAAAATTTCACCTCTAACGCAATCATTAACCACACAAAGAAGTCAGAAAAACAGATGTGAGAGTAGCTCTTGTTTTCCTGCACCCAATATCTGCAGTGTAGAGTAACTCTTGGACTTAAATATGTTTTTTCAATATATAACAATGACTCCTGACTTTTCCATGTGTTTTACAAAGATTAGAGAGCCACAGATACATGCAAGCAAAACTTGAGATTTATCAGTGAAATTACCATGCACAGACTTTGAAACAAATAGATCCTCCAAAGGATAATTTGCATGACTTATCACATAGTGAAGTTTACTCGGTCTAGAAGTCTTTAAGAAAAGAATCCGTCGTCATAGTGTCAAATTTTGCATCTCCAAGGGAAAAAAAAAAAAAATTAAGGTTCTTTGGATTTTCGATCGTAGATTAAAAAACTTTCAAAACATCAAAAATTTCAATGGGTTTTGCTTGAGATTAGATAAATGTATTGTTAATTCCAATATTTTATGGATTAAATATTTTATTTTTATTTTTTTGTAAAAAATTAACAAATATATTAAAGTCTTGTATTTCTTTTCAACTTCGAATCGTCCTCGATTCATTTTCAGTTGAACCATTAACAATGAAAGAAATGTTTAATCAACAAGAACAAACAAGTAAAGTGTTTGATTTTAATAAATTTTAGAAGTAATTTCAGTGTTTGATTTTGTTTCTTTCTGTTTAAAAAGAGAGAAAAAGATATTGGAGAGGGAAAACAATTTGAGAATGGGATGCGTTTGGTTAGCTGACATGTGGAGTCTATATATATATATATATATATATATGGGTATTGTTGTCATTTTATAATTTATCGAACTAAAATTCATCGTAAAAATAATAGAATGTAAAATGTAATTTTTGAAAAATAGGATGTAGAGTGTTTTTTTTTTTTTTTTTTTGTATTTTATTCTTTTTCTTAATATTTTCAAGTTTGATATCCTTAAGAGCAACATCAAATCTTTGAGTTGTTAATGCATCCTTCATTGTGCTATTACGTTGTGCTATCACAGAGAACAAAATTATTTTTCCCCTCAAACAATTCACTCTCATACTTTATAAACCCAACTTTTTTCTTGGCCATGTCATGTCCTGGCTCTGTAATTAGTGTTATGAAAATCAATAGAATAAAGGATATAACATTTTAATATGACTTATTATACCATAAGAGTATAATCTATACATCTTTTTATCATTCTGATATGTTTTTTAAAAGTAGATGAAAAATATATGAATTATGTTTTTAGTAATTATTTTAACATGCGAGCCATTTTTCGTCCAAGATTCTAAATTCAACTCACATGTAGGAATGTCATCATGGATAACAGTCCGCATAGGATGACATGTGGCTAAAAAATTAAAATTGAGGCTAACACTGTCAAAATCTTATTGCCTCTCGCAACCATAGAACTCACACCGGTGTCCTTCTGCATATAGATATTCCAAACTTAATATTGATGCTTCTCTAAATAGCAAGGGATGTGGTCTGGGGGCCATTATTCGGAACTCGCTAGGAGGTTATGATTTCTACTCTTAAAAAGATTGGCCACAAAATTAAATTATCCTTAGTGAAACTCAAACTGCTTAATCTGGCATTCAGATTACGTGTGATGCTGATTTTAATCTCTTAATCATAGAAACAGATCACAAGCATCTCCAACAAGCCATTTCCTAAGGCATTGATGATGACAGCTACGAATCTTTGCTAATTAGAGATACGCTTTGCCTATTGTCTTATTTCTCTTTCTTTGATTGCAAATTTACTAGAATCAATAATAACAAAGCAAGTGACACGCTTGACAATCATGGTCAAGCTCCATCCACCCCTTGAATCATTATTGTCACCCTCGACAATCACCACCCCATCAATGCCGATCTTTATCAACACGTAAA